TTTCCAACAAAAATTATTAGAGCAAGCGAATTTCATCGATGAAAAAGAGTATTCCGGTACATCTTCCGCCTCGCAACTTTTCATTTTATCCACTGTGAATTTGCAGCACACTGTCTTGAGGAGGCAGTTGAGGTCGCAATTCGACATCAAAGATCCACGGGCTTTTCCCTCGATTTCAAGCCATCGTCACCTGAGTAGGTCAGCGATTTCAAGTATATTGGTAATAATTCTAGAACAAGCACAGCCTTTATAGAGCCTAGTGTCGGGTGTTACACGACCCAAGTCACGACGGCGGCAATGATACTATTATAGAGGCGACAACGCCCACGACCTGTTCTTCAGTACTACCCACAAAGCCCTACTTTGGTTTCATTGTGTTTGATCTACTTGCGCTCCTTCATGAATTTCCTAAAGTGGTACTCCAAGGCACCACTGCACTTCACTGTTACGATGATAGGTGGCAGGTCATCAGGATATTCAGCAAAATCTCAGCTTGTTCCAGACTAGTTTTCCAACAACAACGCGAACAAGAAGACGTGCTACGTTGATGAGCAAGGGAGAAAGGATTTCAAAATGGATGGAAGGCGTTTCTAAAAGAAGTGTTTGCTAGTCTATGACTCAAGATTGCGGAGGTGGGTTGGTGGAAGAGGCAAAGAAGATCAAAATCTTGGCGGAACTATTAGGGTTTCGGTATAATAGAGATAATGGCACGGACACGATTGAGCTCACTGAAGACTACTTCTTTTACTCAGTAGAAGCAAGAGCAGCAGAAATGAGTGTGAGGAGCCCACTGCGGAGACACTGAACTCGTCATCTTGGGGCAAGACAAGTCCGTCGCTCGTCCCACATAACAATATTCCCCTAAAGAGACAATGATAACGTTTAGTATACCCTCCCTGTCACCACTATAGCTATTTTCAAAGGTACTTTTTGGTAAGAACTGTTTTTATCTTATATTAGTTACAATTGTTTGATTGCCATGCGAAAGGATAAAGAGAGGTGGACTTTCACCCTATTGTTCTTGGCCGTGGCGGTGGCTGCTGCTTGGCTCTTCAATTGATTCGGCAGTACGAACACGGCAACAGTTTACGCCATCCTAGAATCTCTTGACCACCATAGCACTCCAGACCACCGCCCAAAGTTGATACCAATATGTCGTACACTATACAATATACACTTTTATTTTGACACAAATGTGGCCCCCAGCAGATAAGTACACCTGCCCCAGAATCCGAAATCAATACGCCTTTTGTGTTCGCAATGCGTATTTGAAAATTGGTAGATTTCAGTATTCAATCTTCTGCATTCATATGCAATATATATAGGACCCACACGATATGCGGCACATTACAGTACCATATAGGTACGGTATATAGGACCCAAACAATATGCGGCATTGCTCATCATATAGCTGTACGATGAACGAAAAGCACTCAAATAAATACGCGGCATCAATATAGATTGCCAAAAGGAGCACCAACACTCCTTCTCTCTTGTTGCAGAGTGAGTCAGTCAGTCAGTCACTCATCGTCGCCACTAACAAACATAAGAAAACCAAGACAATGGTTCGAGTCTCATCACTTTTCGTTTCGACGATCATCTGGTGTTTGATGTTGGCACCTTCCATTACTACAAGCGCATCGTCTTCGGGCATCTTCAGCTGTTCCAACGACGACGTTTCGGCGCAACAACAAGTCAATGCCAATGGATGTGCTTGCTTCAGCGAACAGATTGAACTACGAGAAGCCGTCGATCAGTTCATCAGCGAAGGTTGTTCTGACACCAACAACTGCAACAACTGGGTCGTGCAAAAGTATGGTTGGCCTATGGGATCCTGGTGTGTTTCTTCCGTCACCAACATGATGGAATTATTTGCGGAGATGAGTTATATGTTTACTGGATCATTTGACTTCAATGATGAGATTTCATCATGGGATGTTTCATCCGTTACAAATATGGAATCCATGTTCTACAAGGCCACATCTTTCAATCAAGACTTGTCATCGTGGGACGTCTCTTCCGTTACAAACATGCGACAGATGTTCGACGAGGCAACATCGTTCAATGGCGACATTTCATCATGGGATGTTTCTTCTGTCCTAGACATGCAATACATGTTCAACCAGGCATCATCGTTCAGCGGAGACTTGTCATCATGGGATGTTTCATCCGTTACAGATATGGCAGCCATGTTCTACGAGGCACCATTGTTCAACGGAGACTTGTCATTGTGGGATGTTTCTTCTGTATCTAACATGGGGTCCATGTTCTTCTATGCGTCATCCTTCAATCAAGACTTGTCATCATGGGATGTCTCTTCTGTCATTACCACAGGGAACATGTTCAGCGGGGCATCATCCTTCAATCAAGACTTGTCATCCTGGAATGTTTCATCGGTTACAAATATGGAATCCATGTTCCACAAGGCCAAATCTTTCAATCAAGACTTGTCATCATGGGACGTCTCCTCCATCGTCAGCACATTTTCAATGTTCGATGGCGCATCATCCTTCGATCAAGATTTGTCATCATGGAATGTTTCTTCCGTTACAAATATGGAATCCATGTTCTACCAGGCCACATCTTTTAACCAAGACTTGTCATCGTGGGACGTCTCTTCCGTTACAAACATGCGACGGACGTTCAACGAGGCAACATCGTTCAATGGCGACATTTCATCATGGAATGTTTCTTCCGTCACAGACATGCTATCCATGTTCATCGATGCATCATCGTTCAATGGAGATTTGTCATTATGGGACGTTTCTTCTGTAACTGACATGGCCTTCATGTTCTACGGTGCCACATCTTTCAATCAAGACTTGTCTTCATGGGATGTGTCATCTGTTACAGATATGACATTAATGTTCTACCGGGCCATGTCCTTTGACCAAGACTTGTCGTCCTGGAATGTTACGAAAGTCACGAGGGCGGAGAGAATATTTGACAGAACTGTTGCTCTCGATGAATCTATCGTTTGCCAGTGGAGTGATGCTTGGAAGAGACTTTTCAAGTGCAGTGCAAGTCCAACCAATGCTCCATCAAATACACCAATTTCAACAATAAGCGCAAGCTTTAGCCCAACCGATGCCCCGCCAACAATTCCAACAACAAGTGGAAGCACAAATCCAACCAATGCCCCGGCATCAGATAGTACAGCAATTCCAACAATAAATGGAAGCACAAATCCAACCAATGTTCCGTTATCGGATACTACACCACTTCCAGCAATAAGTGGAAGCACAAGCCCAACCAATGTCCCGATATGGGATCCTACACCACTTCCAACAATAAGTGGAAGCACAAGTCCAACCAATGCCTCTATATGGGATACTACACCAATTCCAACACCTTTGCGACCGGAAGATTCAAGCGCAACGAATTCGAAATCTTTGTGTGTACCGGTCCATTTGCTGTTGCTCCTCCTGCTGGGTTTTCAGGCATACTAAAGATTTAGTCTATTTGTGGGTGCAATGCCTTTTTCTATTATCCTAGGTACATGTTGCGAAAGATTTAGTATTGCCTTTGTGTACGCGGATCACAATAAAACAGCTCTACTTGCTGTACAGAATGTGAGTTGAATGGAGATCCTGTCTGACATTTCTTTCAGTTCGTTTCACAAACAGCCCAATAATCTGATGATGAAAAGCTCCATTAGTGATCATATTGGAGCCACCCTAGTGCTCACAGAGCTCAATCTCTCGGACATTCCAATCTTGCTTTGTATACTTTCGCTCCTCCATGAGCTTCAGACGGTGCTCAAAGGCGTCACTTCGTTTCATTGAACCCCCAGCATGTTCTTGTTGGGCAGCCACCTCTCTTGTGGATACGATGCGTCGTTCTGGATTGACCAAGAAGAATACAATAATTCTTCGTTTCTTCTTGCTTTCAGTGTCCTTTGTAGTGGAAGTATTCTTCAGTTCCGTCACTTTGTGCACATGACTGTTGGGGAAAACCAACAATCGCCCAGCCAATGTTTCGACCTGACCAAGTGGCATCAAGCCTTCGTCAATTTTGTCCTCGAGTTCTGGAGGACGGGTTTGATCGACACTCGAATAGATGAACATTGCTTCTTGCTTGTGAAATGCTCGCTTGAAGAGAATATCACCTCCTTCAATTTCTGCGTCTCGGTCAATAAAGTAGATTGCTGTGGCCACGATTTCTTCGTGCGACATTCCTTCCACATGCCAAACCCCTTCGTAGGTTTGACCTGGACCAAGCTCATAGTCAACAATTTTTGTTACTACTTGTAACTGCTGACCTCGCAATGATACTGGCCTTTCTTCAATTGGTCCAGCTGGTTTGGGATTGTAATCCAAATCGTCGTCTTCGTCTCGAATATGGTCCTCTTTGACGACACGGCAGTATCCATAGACCGACTCGATCAACGGCAATGCCTGCGAAAACAATTGGGCCAACGAGCCATACAGCTCTTCATGGTCTGAACGGGGCACCAGGTTATTGATATAGTCACGGATGATACAGCTTCCGTCTTCGGCAACATCAAAGTAGGTTGGTAACCATTGGTACTTGGCACTGGCTTCGTACTCTCGGCCCCAATAGTCTTTTGGTTCTAGCTCAATACGATCATCTTCAGGAATGCTTGGGTCAAGTGACAAAGCTTTGATTTCTTCTTCAGACTTGAGCAAAGGAGAAACACCCTTGACGTAAGAGTATAGTGCTGGATGAATGATATCCCGAACAATATTGTTGGAATGTGGATGGTAGTCAACAACTTGACTTTCCACCAGCAGATCAATCTGATCCATGAGATTGTTGTGTAATGCCTTGGGTACAAAGTCATCGGCAATGGCAACGCCCTCTCGCACCGGCTGTTCTTGGCACTTGCTCCATAAAATGTCCAAAGGAAGAAAGGACTCGGCGGCTCCCCATTCCCACATTTCCTCTGCCAATCCATCGTTAAAGTTGATTGTCATAGGAACCTGGCACGACAGGCCCCCGCCTTCGTTCTCCTCCACATTGTATCCAACAAAGGTAGGATAAATGTGCCTTTCGTCCTTAGTCAAGTTTGGGTTTTGGTAGTCATCCACAAACGGGTAAGCACATTCCAGCTCCATGTCGTCTTCTGGTTCCATTTCAATTTTGACCTTCAAGTATACAACCTTGGATCCACCAATCTCGACGACCTCCGCTCCATGGTCTGAGGGTAGTCTCAAACTCAAAATCACAGGTCGATGTGTATCGTAGTCGTCTTTGTTCATATTGATGGTAAATCCATGATGCTTAGCATGTTCCAAGTCCTGCAAACACAAGAACAGTCCTTCGGTAATACCATCATCGACCATACTCGCAAAGTCTTCAAAGGATTTCGTCTCGGTGATTCTATGGCAGTAGTTGGCGAAGTGGCTAGCCTCGTCTTTCAAAAAGTCATAAGAATCTGACTTTTCAATTACACATTTCTTGCTTTCAGAACCATATCCAGCGTCATCCTTGCAAAACAGCAAGGCTTCCGTAGTTGCCCAAGCTGGTCCATCCCCATTTGCCATTTCACCATCTTCGGCATCATCACTGCCTTCCGTTTTCTTGTCCTTTGGCGAAATGAAAAACCTGAAATCAAATGATTCATCAAACTTGTACAAGCGACCTGCAAAACTGCCTTCTCCAAATTTGACCAGCTCTTCACAATAATTATTATGCCTTGTTGCAGTGCAAATCTTGCGCAATCCAAAATCCTTTAGAACATGCAATCGTACATTGGCATTCCATTCTTTGGACACCAGTCGAAAATCCGCAAGCCCTTTGGTGTCTTCGATGACAAAAGAGAATATTTTTGCAATCAAGGCACCTTGATTGTTGAGCATCTCAGTACCTTTGGATGATAATGATTTCGGTTTGAAGGTTGTTCGTAGTGGTGTCATATTGCTAGTAATGTCTTGGACGATGCCGAATCGGTTATTGGCTCCTTGTCCGAAGAATATAGTACGGTATGGGTGGGGCGTCGTTATGCGATAGTGCTGCTATATATTGAATATGCTGCTATGCTGCAATATATATACCACATTCAACATACCTTTCGGTTCTAAGTTTTACGCAGATTATGAAGTGGCGCAGTCTAGTCGGTGTAGTCGAGATGCAGAAAGTGAATCATTCAATCATACAGCAGTTCAGTAGGTACAGTATATCATACTGTGGCAAAGGAAAAAGGTTGGAATGCGGACGCCAATCTTTGAAGCATTCCACCAGCAACCAAAATCACTATATATCATATAATCGAAGAAAGATAATTGTTTCTGCTGGGCCTGACAGGCCTGGACCCCCCGCAACTCGTCTATCGACCGACCGTTTCCGAATTTCACATCTCCGACATCTTTGACTACTAAATAGTTTTCAATACACCCCCGGGGCATTGTTGTAGCAAAATATTGTTTTTGATCGGTTTCGTGTTGCAGTGACGTGTTTCGATTTCTTTGATCGGTTTCAAAATCGTTTGATCGGTTTCGTGTCGCAGTGACTTGTTTCGATTTCTTTGATCGGTTTCAAAATCATTTGATCGGTTTTGTGTCGCAGTGACTTGTTTCGATTTCTTTGATCGGTTTCGCTTGATCTGTTTCGATTTCTTTGATCGGTTTCGAAATTTCGTGACATCATTTTTAATTTTAAAAACTGCGACGGACGATAGCCACGCGCGCATCATACTCGGATGGAGCCTTACGAGTCTCCGCATATTATCATCAAATCAGTCTCTTTCATGGACGAGCCGCCCATCAACCATCTCGTTACTCCATCGGAGATGGTGGAATCTGGCCTTGCTCTGAAGGGCTACAGCGAAAGGCAAATCAAGCATGCCAAGTTTCAAACACCACTTCCCTGCACTGCAGTTTGGGTGTACACCACCAGCACGCAAATCACCAACATTGCAGGCGCAAGGATCAAGGGAGGAGTACTTGACCCTAATATTTCTTGATTGGACGACTGTACTATCTACGAAAGTACCAATCCGAAGATGAGCTGACGTCCCAGTTCGACTCCAACTATTGGGTAAGAGAGAAAGATTGTGGAACTGCCCTCGGAGATCGAGGCTACAACAGAGAGCCAAAGCACATGAGCACCTACAACACACACAACAATGCTGGTGTCAGGCCCTTCAAGAGTCGAGCTCTCAAGAGACACAATAATTTCTACAGTCTGTTGAAGCAAAACAAGATCTTGGAGACACGATTTCGACACAACGGAGATAGATTTGCTTCAGCTTTCGAGGCTTGTTGCGTCTTGGCTCATTATCTGATCACAAGAGCGATGTCATTATACGATATTATGATCGAGGGTGCTGTAGAAACTTATGAAGGGGATAAATAGAAACTGTCTTGAGTAGGGCCCCTAATTGTATTTATTTTGCATCTCATTCTAGTAGTCATCTTGACCCTCTTCATCTCTTGGTTCAGCTGTTGGGAATTCACGTGCGCGTGTAAGAACTAATGAAGTACTGTTGGGACTAACAAAGTACTTGTGGAAAATCCAGGTTTATATGGATTAAAAGTGGTCTTCAGGCGTGACAAATAGATAGGATATACCGGTAGCTGGGTCAGAACCAGCTTGTCACATTTTTGAGGACCAGACTGGCTGTTTTAAGCCAACATGGTGTGATATACTGAGTTTCAGTACCTAGCTGCAGTAGATAGACTGCAAAAGATAGGAGGTCTCGAGAGAAGAGACAAGGCTGAGGTCAAGGGTTCAAATCCCTGGAGAATAGGGGCTCAAAGGAGTGAGTAAAACGAACAATTGAATAAGGGCCGATAACAGACGGACAGACAGAATGTCCGATCGAATGAATCACATGCGCGATCCATCGCTCGAAGGAGTGTGTTGGGAATTCACGTGCGCGTGTAAGAACTAATGAAGTACTGTTGGGACTAACAAAGTACTTGTGGAAAATCCAGGTTTATATGGATTAAAAGTGGTCTTCAGGCGTGACAAATAGATAGGATATACCGGTAGCTGGGTCAGAACCAGCTTGTCACATTTTTGAGGACCAGACTGGCTGTTTTAGCCAACATCAGCATATTGAGGTAGTTTGTCTTCATCCTCATTATTGTGATTGTCGTCTTTATCCTCTTCTTCAAGAACTATGCCATGCTGCGTTGTTGGAGGTTCTTGATGAATCTCGCAGGATCTCAGCTATGGCACCTTTCCTTGGTCGAAGGTTTTCCGTCCTTGCCATTTTTCAAGGTCTGAAACTCGTACTTGTGAGGTTTGCACTGGTCCATACGTTCGATCCTACTGTACGCTGTAACATTTGTCATCTTGAAGGGTTTTGCTTTGATTGACATGATTTTAAATTTATTTCGTGACTCATTTTTTTGACTTGATTCGATTTCTTTGATCGGTTTCAAAATCGTTTGATCGGTTTCTTGTCGCATTGACTTGATTCGATTTCTTTGATCGGTTTCAAAATCGTTTGATCGGTTTTTTGCCGCATTGACTTGTTTCGATTTCTTTGATCGGTTTCAAAATCGTTTGATCGGTTTCTTGTCGCAGTGACTGGTTTCGATTTCTTTGATCGGTTTCAAAAAGTCGTTTTAATTTTTGAGGGGCTCCCTGCTGGCGGGGGGGAAGACCTGTGCGAAGAAATCGCGTCCGACGCTCAAAAATCGGTGGATGGACAGACGAGTTGCGGGGAGTCCTGGCAGAAAATAACTCAATAGCTCTCGTATTATATAAGCAATCAATCTGTCGGAGACTGGTCCTCTGAGTCGAACCGTGCACGACCGTCAACGAACAATACCGCGACCAACTTTTAACATCGATAGCCGCAACCTAAATTTCCTCCGAGAAACACTGAAGGGAAACGGGATGAAAGCTGTAGTATGATATACTCACATTTTCGCAACGTAACCATTCCTCCATTCTTCGCTTAAAAAAATGCTGACCGCAGTTGCAACAATGATACAATCTTCCACGATATCACCAGAGATTCCTCACCAGCTGGCATCATCAACGCTCTTGGACAGCACCGCCCCCCGCAGGAGTAGGAGAACGGTCCACTTTCCTCGCCACACCAAAACAGTAACACATGTGCTATCACGAAGAGACTATTCGAAATCAGAGCTAAGGGAATGCTTCTACACCCCTGACGATCGATATCGAATGGAATCCGACAGACGGCGCCTCGTAAGGGGGTTGGAGAAAAAAGAGCAGAACAAGAAACAGCAGCCCTCTTCTCTACGAGGTTTGGAATGCCAGACAAGAGAAGGGAGCATACAATCCGAGAAGCGTGTGTGGGCAGTCATTGACAGTGTCCTAAAGGAGCAAGATGATCAGTTGGAACTCGATGACTTCGACTGCAAACGAATTGCAGCCGCTTCGCAGTCTAACTCTAGAGAAAGCGTACTGGTGGCACTTCGTGCTGCAATTGGCGATCAACGAGCTGCCTTCACTGTGTACCGTGAATGGGCTTTGGACAACCGGGCGATCTTCGAAGCTTCAGCTGAAGGCAAGCGATCTTGCAGATGGAGCAGCGAGTGATGATGAAGATGTATACAACTCTATTAGAAAGCAGAGTCTATTCAATACAATAATAATGCATGCACATTTTGACTAAAGCCAGAGTAAAATTTATTTTGAAGCTACCCATTGAACGCTGTTGTCTTATCTCTCTGTTCTTGTACAATGATGTGGGACAATATTCGTATTGTACCGATGGGCGCACTCCTTCTCAGCAGCTATCGTATTATGGCAGATACGTAAAATGATAGTATAGGGTACGGGCAAAACAAAAGCTTGTCAGTCGTTATTACGCTGATGAATGCATTAAGTCTCAAGAGCTTCTGTATTCAAAACTCTCCGAGATTTGTTGGTAGTACGTATGCCATTGCGAACTAGCCTGGCAATCAAAGACCGGTCCTTCATGTCGAACGACGAGCGCGACCCTCATCGAAGCAGGAACGCGGGTTCGCAATCATAAAGAGTCGCACTTCAAACAGAAGAATTTCAACTTTTAAGGATGAAGACGTCAGTTATTGGCTTATATCCTTCATTCACGCCCGGTACTACATTCACATGCTCCCATGAGTCACTCGAACAAACACCGAACGGAAGCGAAACGAAAGCGCCAACCATTTGGCTATCATCAACACTTAATCTGCGTAGTTATCTTCGGAAATTCATTCCCCATCCATTTTTTACTCTAAAAAGATGTCGACCGCAGTTGCAACAATGATACAATCTTCCACGATATCACTAGAGATTCCTCACCAGCTGGCATCACCAACGCTCTTGGACAGCACCCGCAGGAGTAGGAGAAAGGTCCACTTTTCTCGCCACATCAAAACAGTAACACATGTGCTATCACGAAGAGATTACTCGAATTCAGAGCTAAGGGAATGCTTCTACACCCCTGACGATCGATATCGAATGGAATCCGACAGACGACGCCTTGTAAGGCGTGTGGAGAAAAAAGAGCAGAACAAGAAACAGCAGCCCTCTTCTCTACGAGGTTTGGAATGCCAGACAAGAGAAGGGAGCATACAATCCGAGAAGCGTGTGTGGGCAGTCATTGGCAGTGTCCTAAAGGAGCAAGATAAACAATTGGAACTCGGTGACTTCGATTGTAAACGAATTGCAGCCGCTTCGCAGTCTAACTCTAGAGAAAGCGTACTGGTGGCACTTCGTGCTGCAATTGGCGATCAACGAGCTGCCTTCACTGTGTACCGTGAATGGGCTTTGGACAACCGGGCGATCTTCGAAGCTTCAGCTGAAGGCAAGCGATCTTGCAGATGGAGCAGCGAGTGATCATGGCTGTCTCTGTTTACAAAGCAGCATTTGAAAGCATTTGGTTGTACAATGATAGTGTGCTGGGACACTAGCTATAGCATATAATACATCTCATTTACATAAGTTGGAAGTCACCAATTGAAGCGCTAATGGCCTACCTCGTGTCAGTGATTGCACCAGAGTACCATGGAGTTGTGACTCTTAGCTAGATCGCAAAAGACATGTACATCAACAACATTTCGACAGCTGTCTAATGTCAGAGGTGTTGTACCAATAGTTTTGCTCTCATTGCACTCCCCTCTCAAAACTACCGTAGGTACAGATAGTACGAGTAAATCAGAATTTGGAAAGGAAGAATCCTCCTCTGTTATGGTAGTTTGCCGTCGGTCAATGGAAGTGACAAATGGGCGTCAGTGCTTATACCGATGGCTTTGCTCTTCTTTCTTGGACATTCATTCCTGCTCACCGACTACCGTAGGTGGGAAATAATACCGGTACGAGTATTAGACCAGAACTTTGAAAGGAGGATTGCCAAAACTTTTTAATTAAACAATACTCCGAACGTGCGACGGTCTAGGAGAGCTCATCATTGACGCAATATTCTCGGAGATATCGTGATGTTTTGATTGTTTGCAATTTTATAAAATATGAGTTGCGAAACTTGTGAGAAAAGCAGAGACTCCCTTTCGGAGCATTTCATATTTTTATAATATATATTTTATATAAAATATATTATTTTAATTAAAGATATCTTTTCCACGGCTGGTTTCGAGAAAGATCATCAATGGAAAAAAATGAATAGTACGGTACATCTTTCGCCTCGTAACTCGTCGGGACACCGAAGATATCCCACTATGCGCTCAAAATTATTAATACCCGTTTGCCTATTATACAATATACATACATTTCATTTTTAGTTGCAAAAAATTTCACAGTTGCAAAAACAATTCAACATGCACACTCATAAGGATCAAATGAAAATGCTCAAAACAAACTCGCTTGCAGCGTTCATCAAGGATGACATGAATTTCTCTTGGGAAGATGATCTCTTCGACCGCGATGAGGAAGAGTCAGTCGCCATGCGCAAAACGAGAATTAGATTTTCTGACTACAATGCCATCCAAGAAATCCCTTGTATCAGCGACATGGAGGCCAGCGAGATTGCTGACGTCTGGTACAGCCATCAATTCTTTGCTACCATGGAGGCAGAATGTAGAGAGCTGTCCAGGTCGGCCAAGTCTGGCAGAATCGAGGTATCTAACGACATTTGCTTGCGCGGCTTGGAAGAGAAACTTCATGAAAGCCAAAAGAAAATCAACCGACGTGAATCCATTGGTGCCATTGTAGACGAGCAAGGTGCTCAATTTGGCTATGGAGAAGAAAGCGCTGAGATAATTGCACAAGTTTACCATGCGTTTGCAGCACACTGCAATGACGAGGCAGTTGAGATGGCACGTCAAGATGAAACAATAGCTTTTGAGATCTATAGGATTTCCTCAAGTTGAAGTTCAAGCTCTTCATCACCTGAAGGTCAAATAGTTACGTCAGCGCTTTCAAACCCTCCAAGTTAGGAAAACCCGGCCTTGGTTTTTCAAAATGGAATTACAAAATTTTAATATAGAACGAGATAGCATAGTACAATCTTCCCTCATGCATCATAGCCTTTATGGGGCCTTGTGCCGATTCCAACGCGACCCAAGATGCTCGACCATCAAACCCAAACGGTACTGCTCCAAGGATCGCTGCGCCCCTCCAAGGATCGCTGCGCCCCATTGTTCCCATAATCAATAGTAAGGTCCTGTGGCAGGTCATCAGCCAGCAGGATAGTCAGACAAACCTCAATTTCGCTAGAAGAACACTAAACGATTGGACCAGCGTAAACAGAATTTTCAATCCATATATTCTACCACAGTCCCCCCCCCTTTGGCAACTTTGTAATTTGAGGGATCCACCCCAGTGCTCACAGCCAAAGCTCAATGGATCTCGCGGATATGATTCCTCCAATCTGACTTTGTAAATTTTTGCTCCGCCATTAGGGCACCTTGACTTCTGATCAGTTCAGTGCCTCTGGATGACATTGATTATTGAAGGCTGCTTCCTTGTTGTCTTCTTCGTCATCTTTTTCTCCTTTGTTGTTGTCTTCTTCGCGAAGATGAACTTCTTGTTAGAATCGAGAATGCGTTGGCAATCAAGTCACCTTCATTATTGGAAAGCTCCATGCTTTTGGACAATACAGAATATTATGGTTTTGGAAGGATGAGGTCGCTCCTGCTCTGTCGTCTAGATCAGGATGACCATTCCGACTCATAGTAGAAACAGCTTTCGACGCAGTATAATGGTTTTGTGCTGTTAGTATGCTGCAGGCGGGCTTCAATTGAAACGTGCCGCTCGTTCATTCGTCCTCTCTGAATAATATCGTGCTGGGCATATTGAATATATCTCCCGTCGAGAAGATTTGGTTGCGGGATAAGTTACAGTAGCATGTGGCCCGCCCGGCCGGTTCAGACTGAAAAATACCGCTTTTATTTTGCAGTGCGCGATCTGTATTATATAATATATTTTTTTTTTAAAAATTGGTAATGGCAACAAAAATTTAGACCACCAGCGAATCCTTCATACAGCATATATTATGGTTGCGTCTATATTACATGTTTCCTCATCGCCAGGCAGAACGTCCAAGACATGATAGACAGATTACAGATTGATTGTATTTAATCCCTCCAGAACAATTGAAAATGATTTCTCGACAACCTCTTTCTCCTCCGTCATTGCTGGTCTCGATTGGAAGCATAATAGCAGCATTGGTACTTTCTTCTTCTATTGTTGAAGCCAATGATGTCAGCGTAGTCAATGTGAACAGCAACGCCAATCGCTCATTGCAAGGACAACCGTACGAATACACCTCCGACCATATCGTCGCTCGTGCGTCTGCCATTTCCAAGGATTATCAAACCATTGTTTTTTTCTTGGCGCAAGACAACGGGGCGGGCCGGGAAAACGCTCGCGCCGTGTACCAATTGGGAGCCTATTGCCAATCGTATGCTACTCTAATGCTGGATGCTCCCTTGACGTCTGAAATTCTGCAAGGAACCGAAGTTACGGGAACCAATGCCAACGGCGATTCCGTTTCGGGAATTGTGCACAGTGGGGCCTTTAGCGGAGACGCGACTTTGGAAGTCATGTATCTGATTCCATCTGATGGGATTGCCAACCTTTGTTCTGTGGCTGGAAACCCTACTCCGCAATATGAGCAATGTGAGTGATATTTATGTTATGATTGTGTGTTATTGTTTTACATTTACAGTACATGCATATGAATTGTCCACATTGTCCGTACTGTGCCGAGTGGAATAAAGGATGCGCATATTCAGTTTCTTTTTTCTCGTGTGTCGCTTGTACCAATTTAAATTGCATCAACAACACTTGACTCACTCTATTCATTCCTCCTCCACATTTGTCAACACTCATCAGGCTTGAACACTAGTGGTGAAATTTCTGTTTCTGGCGGTCCCACACTCACCTACTCCAATTACGACTTGGACAATGACACCGCCGCTGGACAATCCATACAATCCATGTCGATGACCATTTCCGGAGCCGGTACCCTCGGTTACCCCCGCATTGGTACCTTTGCTTCTTACTATGGTACCAACAGGTACGCCAATGAATTCATCCAAGCGGCCTTTGACAAGGCCGACACTCAATTTGACAGTGGCAATGCCGAATTCACCAAGTGGACTCAATTTGGGACCAAATCGTTTATCACAGTAGCTACTCTCACCATGTCATCCTGGATGCACATTATCATTAAAATGCAAGATGCCGTCGAAGTCTGCAAGTCCTTGCCGCAAGGACAGAAGTCGGTCCAAGAGGTGCCCCTTTGGGACAATGCCGTCGCCACCTACCGTGGCATGGGCGGAGCGGCCGGTGGTACCATGGGACAACTCTGGTATCTCGCAGATAATTACTGTCAAAAGTTTGGAACCTGTCAAGATGGTCCCGGTGGCAGTCAAGGGATTGCGAAGGCCAATTCCAAACTGTACGCTCATTTCAATGCTGGCAAGCAAGATTTGTTGGATGGCAATTGTGATTTGGCCGAATCGTCTCTGGATGCCGCTGCCACGACCATGACCATTCCCATCATTCAAGGATTGTTGTACCATGCCTACGAACTCGATCTATTCCAGGAACAACGAGAAATCGTCCAAGGAGAAGCGGCTGCCTTTTTGCATTCCCTTTTGCCACTGGTCCATGCCTGCTCGGGAGGAAATGCCGTCATGATCTACAACGAAATCAAGGTGGGCAATGGAAAGACGGCTAGCTTTGAAGCCATCAAGACCTCCTTGGAAGGTACTTATGAATGTTTGGGTGTAAGTTGTGAAGATATTGGTGGAATTGTCGACCTTGCCGATCCTACCACGTACCTAGAGAATGGAGCTCCCTGCGGTACCTTGAATGTGGACGACCAAGATGGTGATGGTATTCCGGACGTTGCTCCAGTGGTTCCTGCCAACCCTCAACCCAGCCCAACCCAAAGGCCTAGCTCATTGCCAGGACAAGCCTACGAATACACTTCGGATCATGTCAACTCGCGAACTGCGGCCATTTCTAAAGACTTTGAGTCCATTGCCCGTTTCTTGTCACAACAAACTGGAGCTGCCCGAGAAAGCGCTCGCGCCATTTACCAATTAGGAGCCTATTGTCAGTCCTATGCGACTTTGCAGTTGGATGGTCCTTTGAATTTTGAGATTTCTCAAGGAACGGAGGTTACTGGAACCAATAATGGTCTCGGCCAAGTCAATGCAGTACTTTATAGGGATGCATTCCCTGGCGATACGACTGTAGAGGTCATGTACTTGATTCCTTCTGATGGAGTTACGAACATTTGTTCTGTGGCAGGAAATTCTTATCGATGTAAGCGCAATACCGTGGACTATTTTTGACGATGGAAAACAGAGCCCGAAGATACGGCACCGCGTTTGCAACACTCGCTTATTCACTCAATCTATTGTGCCTCCTCGTTCTAATTTGTTCAGGTTTCATGACTACTGGAGTGATTGCCGTTGCTGGGGGCGGCGGACCGCTTTCCTATACTGGATACGATGCTGATGTGGATACCGCCAATGGTCTTTCTCTGCGGTCCATGTCGAGCACCATTTCAGAAGCCAGAACGCTTGGCTACCCTCGCATTGGTACATATGCTGCCAACTATGGTACCAACAAGTACGCTGATGAATTTATTCGAGCTGCTTTTGGCAGAATAGACACTGCCTTTGACAATTTCAATGCCGAATTCACAAAGTTTTCTCAATTTGGAACCAACAAATTTATCGAAGTTGCAACTCTAACCATGAGCTCTTGGATGCACATTGTGATTAAGATGCAAGATGCTATCGAAATCTGTAAATCCTTGCCCAATGGCCAAAAGTCAGTCGAACAAGTTCCTCATTGGGACGATGCAGTCGCCATTTACCGTGGATTGGGTGGTGGTGGAAGCACGGGACAGCTATCCCAGTTGGCCAATCAGTATTGCGCAAGGTTTGGAACCTGTCAAGATGGTACCGGTGGCACTCAAGGTATTGCCAAAGCCAATGCAAAAGTGTACGCTCATTTCAAGGCCGGAAAACAAGACTTGTTGGATGGAAGGTGCGATTTGGTGGAAAATTCTTTGGACGAAGTAGCCACTGCCATGACCATTCCATTGATTCAAGGATTGTTGTATCACGCGTATGAACTCGATCTATTGAAGGAACAACGAGAAGTGGCTGAAGGAGCAGCGGCTGCCTTTTTGCATTCTGTGCTTCCGTTACTGCATGCTTGCTCGGAGGGGATTGCAGTCATGGTCTACAACCAAATCAAGGTTGGCAATGGCAAGACTGCTAGCTTTGAAATTATCAAGGCTAGTTTAGAAAGCCAATATGAATGTTTGGGTGTAACTTGTGAGGATATTGGTGGAATTATGGACCTTAGTAACCCAATTCAGTACCAAAGAAACAGTGGTACATGCGTTACCTTTGACATTGGCGATGGCATTCCAAACCCAGAACCCAGCCCAACTCTAAAGCCCACTTTGTATCCTACTTCAGATGATAGTGACCCAACTGATCCACCATCCTCCCGATTCATTGAGTCTGAGGACTCAGCTGGCAGTGGTGTCAGCTACTGTCTTGGTCTTGCTATTGGTCTTTCATTTACATTGCTAATGTTGCTGAGATAACTAATATTCTAAATGGAATTTGTTAGAATTTCTATTGGAGACTCTGCAAGTTTGTATTATATGTTTGTATCTTCCACTCGTTTGTTTCATTGTTTCACGAACAGGAACAAGCATGTTCAAAGAGCAACAATCCAACATCCTTCACAGTTTTATCATGTCGTCCCAAATATTGCCAATGGTCAATGACACTTTGTGCTAGTACTGGTGTATTCGGAAGCTCGTATGCTTGATCGACCGGTGCCCATGCTTCACCCGAGATTATCTTGTATCCAAAGACCACAAAATTGAAACCCCGGGTCCGACCACAACACGGACCAACGGCATGTATCAGTGATTCTTGTTGTTCGTATGTTGCTACCGGTAAGTATGGATAGAATGGATAGTCAGGGTGTTTGATCAGATGCTGTTGCTTTGTATCATAATTGCCACTACTTGGTGTGGTGCTGCTAGTAGGCTTGCCGTCGTTGTCGTCGTTTTTGTTATTTTTACCATCTGTGCCATCATCCATAGTTTCAGTATTCACTGCCGGGTTCTTTTCTTCTTCCACATCCGCGTCATCGGTTTTGTCTACTGTGCTGTTATTGTCGTCATTCTTCACAGTTCCAGTATTGTTGCCTTCCATATCTGCCTGTTGATGGTCATCAGTAGTGTCATCATTAGTGTCACCACACTCATTTCCCTGGGGTTGTTCTTGTTCTACCACCACTGGCGGCGGTAGTCCTCCGACAATGTTGGAAGTATCGAGTTCTTCCGCCTTAAAATCGATTTCCATATCATCGACGTACTGAAGAAAGTCATCGTCATCCGTCCCATCCTCGTCATCGTCGTCCGGATCGAATTCCATATCGTTTTCGTCAAAGACAGGCTGCCAACTCCATTCCTTATATTCTTCGTTATATTTGAGACCCAATTGATCGCGAAGTTGTTGATCGGAGCCATCAATCTTGAATCCAACGTACATTGCTTTGAATCCACCCATAGTATAGTGCTTGTTAGTTTATAATGTATTTGACAAATGTATCTTCTATCTGCACATATACCGGTATAGTTCGAAATGAATGAAATACTAATACAAGCATGGGTCATTATTACGATTTTGCGATTGTGCCCCCCGCACTCTTTTGAAAAAGATTTGGTGGCGGCGGGAAGAACGAAAACGCACAGTCGCTCTCGAAAATACGGTAAGAACCCGCAGAAATCATATGGGGCTGGCTCAGCCAGCCGTTCCATGACTTGACACATACCGGTACCGCGGAGAACGCACATACGCGACTGCGATGATGACAATGACACCGTACCTTGTCATACTGCGTTGATTGAGTGATTGATGATTCTTGCATTGAGTGATTGATTCTTGCATAATAATAAAACGCAACACGCTGCAAGACACTCCGTCCAAACCGAATATCATATATATAAAAGGTGATTTTGCATTACTCAAGACCATTACGAGCATAGACAAGCAGTGTGCGACTGACTGACTGACTCGCTCACTCGCGTTTCGATCTTGTCAAATCAAATCTATAGTGTTTTGTATCATCATCACACGACCTCACAGCCCAAGACCTAACTGTATTTTTGCAGCACACAACTGACTTTTTCAGAAAGACACAACCACAATGAAACGCTACTCTTCGACATTTGTTACTATGTTCCTTCCATTGTTGTTGGCTCTTGTTGTGGGTCCATCCGTTTTGGCACACTCTACTACTACTATTACTACTACTACTACCACGACTAGTAATACTCCAACAAGAAGACGTCAGTTGCAAGACCAACAAGCACTCTTTGATGAAGCTTCTGCGCAATGGACCAGCTATGGAGATGCGGTGGATTACAATTTTGCCTATCTTCGTCAAGACGAGACCTTTCCACAGTTTCAAGTGACGGTCCGGAATTCCACCACGATTGGCGTGGATACCGTTTATGGGCAGCCGCAAGATCGATACGTCTTTACCATGGATCAGTTGTTGGGATACATTTCCGAGTCTCTTTCAACGGCGGGAGACACTGTCGCTGTCAACTATGACAAGACATATGGATACCCAACCTCTTGGAATATTACTGGAAGTGTCAGCCTACAAGGAACGATGGAATCCTTTACCTTTTTCTCCATATTGAGAGAGCAACTCAACCAAGGCAAGGCAGTTTGGGATGCCCGACCAACTGACAGTTACGATTACACCATTCACATTATTGGATTCCTTCCACCTCCCTATGGTACACCGAAGCTTGTCCAAGTCCGAAACGGCACTGTGGAGACCATTTTGGAAGAAGATACCGGAGAAATGATAGACATGACCACCTTCAATCTTCCCACTATCGATCAGGCTTTTCAAAACATTGAAAATGCCCTTACCAATTATTATGCCACTGTGGATGCCACCTTTGATCCGACGCTTGGATATCCAATGGAATATTCCTTGCGGAATTCCATCTTTGTGGCCGATGGCAATCCAACCTATCGAATCTATGACGTTGTCCTGGTAGCAAAACCAGATAATGATGATACTGAAGGAACCATAGTTGAATGGCAAAATGAATTGGCGACTGCCAAAGCATTGTGGTCGGAACGGAACCTTTCGGCTTACAACTATACTTTTCAACGATTCTGTGAATGCCCACCAGAGTTTCAGCGTGCCAAGTTGGTACAAGTGGTGGACGGAGATGTAGTTGCCATTGACGGAACTTTTGGGAATTCGTTGGATGAAGCTCCCACCTTGGATGGACTCTTTACCATCATCGAAGCTGCTATTCAAGATGTAATCAGGGGAAATGTCTCTTCCATTCGAACTACATATGACGCAGAATATGGCTATCCTGCCTCTGTATTTATTGATTACGACGAAATGATGGCAGATGAAGAATACATTGTATCCGCCACCCTGGAAGAAGTAAATGGAGGAGGCGGTGGTGATGATGATAAGGCAATGATATTGAATGAAGCCAAGACCAAATGGGAATCCATGGGTCTCTCCAATTATCACTTTGGAATTGTAAAAGAGTGCCGATGTGTATTCCGTGACCCCATTGCGATTCAAGTCAGTAACGGAGAAGTTGCTCAAATGAGGAATCGTTTTGGTGATGAAGTCGATCAAGACACAACAGGGTATTCTTTGACCATCGAAGACATATTTGGTCTCATCCAGACTGGGATGGACGAAGGTTTTAGTACTGTCGATGTGGAGTATGATGAAGAGTATGGATATCCCAAGAAAGCGGTTCTCGATCCCCGCGCCATGACGGCCGATGACGAATACACCTTGACGATTGATTACTTGGCTCCGCTTACGAAATGGCAAAATGAATTGGAAGCTGGCAAACGTTTGTGGTCAGAACAGAACATCAAGAGTTATAATTACACATATCAGCGATCCTGTGAATGCCTGGATGAGTCTCAGCTTGCCAAGTTGGTACAAGTTGTGGACGGAGATGTAGTTACCACTGGTGATGTTTCGGCACAGGCTACACAACGATCCTCCTTGAATGAGGCTCCAACTTTGGATGGACTCTTTGTCATCATTCAAGACGGAATCAATAGAAATGCCTTTCGGATTGTGGTAGACTACGATCCAAAATACGGATATCCCACCTCTGTGTACATTGATTACTACGAAATGATTGCAGATGAAGAATACATTGTATCCGCCGTACTGGTGGAAGTCAACGATGGTGGTGCAAATGTAGATCCAGTTCCCGACTCATCTGCACCGAAAACTGCAATGATCATGGGTCATCTTGGGCTTGCGTCGCTTCTTCTCTGTATGCAATGGTAGGTATCACACTTCCATGACAGCTGTATAGCTATAGTCATATGATTTTAGAGGAGCAAATTGCCCTACATCATCATAACCCGTGAGGCACTAGTAGAACGTAATTTGCAAGGATCAAATCAAATGCTATGTCTCAACAGGCAAAGCGATACTGTACTTCTTTGTTCTAGCGATTCCTTCAAACCCTCCTCTGGAACAAAAATATAGTCCTTGGTGGAATCGAGCAGTTTCAATCCGCAGTCCAAATCTCTCAGAATCAGTTCCATTTTGCCAAATTTTCATCTCCCTTTTTTTAATTTAACTTGAAACTCACTGTGTGGTTCAGGGTACTGTTGCCTTGTGGCTAGTACCAGGTACTATCTCGTATTCGCAGCTACCATCTTAGTTTCCGCTTTCCTTTCGTTATATATTTTTTAATATTAAATATTAAAATAGAAATCGCCATGATTTTACTGCGTATCTTATTTTACATACAAAACAGTATATTTTTAACACGACATCTGCGGCAGAGACGTCGCCGGCCGGCCCATGACTTGAAAATACCGCGGAGATGATGATGGCACGGTACGGCACGGTACGTGTACGTGTACGTGTACGTATAGAGTACATATATAATACCTCCGGATAATACATACCGCAGCATTGAACACTAATAAAGTTCCAACCAAATCTCAACAAATTCGTCCTCGTCATCCGAAGCACACAACAATGAAGCCTTACTATATTCGGCATGTAGTAGTTTCCTTCTATTGCTTATTGTTCATGTGGGTCCATCCGCATTTGCACACTCCACTATTACCATCCCGACTAGAACTCCAATCCGACACTGACCAACAAGCACTCTTTGATGAAGCTTCTGCGAAATGGACCAGCTATGGAGATGCGGTGGATTACAATTTTGCCTATCTTCGTCAAGACGAGACCTTTCCACAGTTTCAAGTGACGGTCCGGAATTCCACCACGATTGGTGTGGATACCGTTTATGGGCAGCCGCAAGATCGATACGTCTTTACCATGGATCAGTTGTTGGGATACATTTCCGAGTCTCTCATAATAATGGGAAGCTATGTCTCGCTGCCGATTACGACAAAACGTATGGATACCCGACATTCTGGAGTATCGAAAGTCTCGATGGAAACATCCTAGAAGGAACGATGGAATCCTTTACCTTTTTCTCCTTGTTGAGAGAGCAACTCAACCGAGGCAAGGCAGCATGGAATGCCTGGAATGACCAACAGGTTGACAACTATGATTACACCATTGACATTATTGGATTCCTTTCACCTCCTTATGATACGCCCAAATGTGCAAGTCCGAAATGGCACTGTAGACAGAATATTAGAGGACGATACCGGAGTAATGATTGGCAAAACCAAGCTCAACCTCCCGACTATCGATCAGGCCTTTACGAGAATCGAAAATGCCTTGGTGAATTACTATGCCACTATGGATGTTACTTTTGATTATGCTTTTGGATATCAACGGGAATATTCCTTACGATTCCCTCTTTGTGGCCGATGGCAATCCAACCTATCAAATCTACGACGTTGTTCTGGTAGCAAAACAAGATGATGATAATGGAGGAACCATAAAGGAGGACATGGAAAGGGAATGGAATGTTGCCAAATCCTAGTGGGAATCGTTTGGTCTCGTTAATTATCACTTTGGAATTGTAAAGCAGTGTCGATGTGTATTCCGTGACCCCATATCGCTTCACGTCAGCAACGGTCAAGTGATTCAAATGACCAATCGATTTGGCGAACAAGTTTACCAAAACACAACGGGGTACTCTTTGACCATTGAAGACATATTTGGTCTCATCAAGACTGGGATGGACGAAAACTACAGTACTCTCGATGTGGAGTATGACGACGACTTTCGTGGAGACTATGGATTTCCAAAGAGAGTAGTCCTGGTTGAAAGCGCCGTTAGGGCAGAAGAGGCATACACCTTGACGTTTGACTACTTGGCACCCATTTCGAAATGGCAAAATGAATTGGGAGCTGCCAAAGCATTGTGGTCAAAACAGAACCTTTCAACTTACAATTACAGGTTTTTTCGACAGTGTGAATGCATAGAGGAGGCTAACACTGAGGCGCTGGTAAAAGTTGTGGACGGAAATGTAGCTGCCATTGACCTAGGCAGCCCTACTTTTGGTGAAGCTTTCACCATGGATGGCCTCTTCACCATCATCGAAGACGCTATCAACGCAAAAGCCTTTCGGGTTGACGTCACCTACAACCGAGAATACGGTTATCCCATCTCTGTATACATTGATTATGAAGAAATGGTCGTAGGTGCAGATTTCATTATCAGTGCCTGGGCATTGACACCGCTCACGAAATGGCAAACTGAATTGGAAGCTGGTAAACTCTTGTGGTCAGAACAGAACCTCAAGACTTATGATCACACGTGTCAGCGATCCTGTAGATGCCCTGATGGGATGCATCAACAATTATGTGAATGCTCTGATGAGTCTCAGCTTGCCAAGTTGGTACAAGTTGTGGATGGAAAGGTATTCGCCGTTGATGGTAGTCCGGTCCAGGCTACACAACGATCCTCCTCCGCTTCTTTGGATGAGGTTCCCACCTTGGGTGGGCTCTTCACCATCATCCAAGAAGCTATCAATGGCAATGCCTTTCGGGTTGACGTAGACTACGACCCAGAATACGCTTATCCCGTCTTGATTGATTTCACAAGAGATCCCGCAGATGAAGAATGCATCATATCAGCCATTTTGGAGGAAGTAAAGGATGGTGGTGCCCGCGAAGATTCAGGTCCCGCATCTTCTGCACTGAAAACTACAACCACCCTGATGGGTCATCTTGGAATTGCCTCGCTTCTTCTTTGTATGATATGGTAGGTGTCAAACCGCCATTGCAGCAGCAAAACGATAAGCGTATCCTTTTAGTAGCAAATGGCCTTGCATCATAGCCCGTGATGCACTACTATAATTCAGAGTATAGTTTCTTAAATCCAAAATAAAATCCTGTGCTGATTGCACTGTCAACAGGCAAAGCGATACTGTTTTGTCCGAGCGACTTCCTTCAGCCCCTCTGGAACAAAAAAGTAATTCTCTAATAGTCCCCGGTGAAATCGAGCGTTTGCAGCAATGACAGAGTAGGTCGACACCTCGGTCCCAATGAAAATATCTGAATGAATGGCTAGAAACATGTTGACAATCCCTCCTGAAATCGACGAGTACCGTTTGTAGAATGGATCGCCTGCCTCTTCCACGAGCGAGGATCCCGCTTCCACAACGTTGACTCGCCCATCCCACATTCCTTCATTTACGACACGATTGATCACTTTTAGATTCTGGTGATTGAGGACAGTATATTTGTCAATATTAGTGGTTCGTTTCGATTCATCTTCCATGTACTTTCTATTGAATTGCATCAATACTGTATTGACTGGTGGTTCTGGAAACTGTTTATAGATTCCATCAAGAATCTCAGTGAGATTCCATACTTTCAAGGACTGCCGATATATGGAGTACAAATAAGTGTGAGATCGTACTACTGTATATGTAGTTATCCGGCACATCCGATTTCTTGAAAGCTTACCGTACAAACGCGATCTTGTCTCGCCATGTCAGGCTCCACCCGGGCATGAAACGCCATAAACTTGCCCCCTGCCCCAAGTTTGGCTTTCTCCCTGTCCACCAAATGCTGTAAGAACGGATGTGGCTTCAAGGCCCCAGCAATCATTGGTTTGTAAAAGGAAAACTGTCGTGTCTTTTCAGGATGGTTGCTGTTTCGATCATGAAATCTCATCATTTGGTTGTAGGAATTGAGACTCTGGTGACGGTTTTGTCCGCTCGGAGCTGGTTTGGTAATGCTTCGGTTTTCCCAGACGTCCCAGGTGACATTGTACGTCACTTCTGGTACCTTGATGCGAATGCCTCCTTCCATCTCAATGACTTTCCCTACCTCCATTACATGCGGATGATACTTCGGGTCATATTTCACTAGTCGTGGAACATTCGGGTAAAATGTATTCCAATGCGCAACATCCCACAACTTGTGGTGGGAAATCTTTTCATTCGTCCCAAATGTATCTTTCCATAGAATACTTGGATCTAAATACTGTCGATAACCTTCGGATGCAGCCAGTGATAGAATGCCCAAGAATCGCATGAGCTGATTGTTCAGACCAGAGTAGAATTCGAATACATAGCTGGCTGTTTCGATATCCGGAAGAACTTCCATTGCTTCTTGCAGCTGGTGTTCATACGCATCAGCATTGTAAACTTGAAGTTGGTTCGCCGATGCGGAATCAGGTGCTTGCTGTGCTTGCTCCGGTACCGCAGCGTGTTCTTCTTCTTGAGGTTGAGACAAATCATTACTTGCACGTGAACGGGGAGTCTGATAGCCGCTGTCGTCACGGCCCTGCGGAAGGATGGCGATAAGGTTGGAACTCCGACTGATGGATGGAATGCAAAGCAGCAAAAGAATGGCTAAAACCTTTGCCTTATTAGTCAATCTCGTTACTGATTTCTTCCGTCTCCCTTTCGGAATATGATTGAATGTATCCATTGGCGATAAGACCGTCTATCGGCGCATGGTATAATATAATGAAGGACAATGACTCAACTGAACAATGATCAATATCGATTTTGCATAATAATATTTTGTCATTTTTATTTTCCTCACAATGAACCTATACAGAAGGGGGACAGACAGACCTTCCTACTCCTACTCAATCGAAGGTATCCGCTTGGTACCTCATACATGGTAGATTTGAATATAGGGAATAATACACTCCAGTATAGATGCTTGGTTGAAAGCAGTAGAAAGTTAAGAGACAGAGCAAATGACTCCGAAAAGTGATTATATATTATGATTGCACGGGAAAAAGGATTGGGTCCTTATCTTCCAGTAGCTGTTGGCCAGATAATCCCATATCATTGGGCACAAAGGCGAACACAGGCAGAAATTGTGCTGGACTCAGTGTAGTGGAATAGCAGTTGAAAAGTTCCTCTCCCGCCTCCAAGTCTCGCTTTGCTGTAACTCGGATGTCGCCAGTGGCTGGATTTGTCGAGTGTGAAATGTTTTCTTGGGCCTCGTCCTTATGCTGAGTCATATCCAAAAGAGGTATTAGCTTCATACAGTCTGTTTCTTCATCCTCGAATGCTCTTGATAAAAGCATACAAAAGGCAGATCGAAGTGCAATCTCAATCTTCTCTAGTGCTCTGGCTTTAGTCTGTTCGTCCATATCCACGGCTGTACCATTAATTTCATCTCGATTGATATAATAGTTTAGAAAGAGCCCCTTGATGTTTTCAACGGCATTCGAAACTTGCATTCTCGTGGATATTACTTCTTCGTCAATACTAGATCCTTTGAGTAATCGGTTCGTCTCCCCGTCGGTCCACCACAGTGGATGGTCGTCGGTCCAAGGCAAACAATCGAGATACTCCTGCCAATTCGAGGATTTGCAAGAATCGTTTTGCCTCTCAAAGATACCATCGATCTGACCACAAGCTTCTTTGGCGACAAACCCAGCCAAGGTGGCAAGTTTGGCTCCAGGACCACCAACGTCTGTCAGATACATGAATTCAGGGCCCAAGGATTCGTCGTCCCATGCATTTTCAATGCTGATTATTTTGTCGTGTGGAATGGTCATGATGAGTTCATTTCGTTGGAAGGATCGATTTACGAATATACCATTCCCATTGCCGATCGTCGAAGAACCAATAGTCACGGGCGGTGGTTCATCATTGGGTGTTTCCGATTCATTGTTGGTGGACAGTAATGCCCATTCCACGAGTCTTTCAGAGGAACCTTTGTTGCGTTGGAGCAAAGCCTCTCGTTTTGACAGCATCTCGTCATCAATATCTTGGTTGATATCGACTTGTGCAGAAAGGAAAGTTAGGTGTCGACGGCTTGATAGTCTTTGATGGGCAACATCATTATTATTATTATCAGACGATGGAGAAATAACTTGATGGATTTGAGTATCCGAAAATCCGTGACACATCATGCTTTTTCCCTTGATTAATGCAAAGATGCAGAGTGCTGAGATGACTGTTGCATAACGAGGCTTTGAAAAAATCATCGTTAAAAAGAACTATGTTGTTAGGTTGAGTATATTTCACAATAGAGGAGAGGTCATGTCAAAATTAAAATGCACCGCATCAAAGGGTTTGAAAAAATCGGACTAGTCGACTTCGAGCCATTGTGAATCAAATTTCAAATTGAATAAAATATTTTCAGCTCAGAGAGTAAAAGTGTGACGATTCCGCTATCCTATCGTCAATCAAATTCTTGTGAGCGATGATGCGACTGGAACAAAGCGTCCAGAATTTGAAATTCCCAATTTCGTGACCGAGGAATGCATTCGAACCATCGGTGGTGGTCGTGCTGGTGGTGGCTTCTTCTTTGTTCTACATTTTGATAATCGATTTCGAACATTCCTACCGTGGAATGCTGCGATTGGGGGGAACCAAGTTGCAGCCAAAACAGAACAATCACTACCAGGTACCTGATACAGTACCTTGGTGGGAGGCTGTGTATTTATTGACATAAAACGGTACCAGGTACTCTACCTCATGGTACCTGGTACCATTCCGGTATCGTACTGTACGGTACAAGATAGGATCGGGTGAATACGTCCGTCCTCCTTTCCATTTCCGCCATCCAATGCTGTATCAAAACAACAATGGAAACGCGTTTTTCGTAGAAACGCCGTTTTCATGCCCGTTTTCATGTTTTTTGATGCACGATAGGATGGCGGAAACGGAAAACTTCATTTTCATACAAAACAGATATTCCGTTGTGTCTCGATGACAATGCCACCAGTCAGTGCTCAATTTCAGCAAGATCTTCATTCTGGTACAGTACGAGCAGCAAACGAAATGAAACCATATGCTGAGAGAATCAAGAAAATCCTTTCGTTATATTACAACGGTACAAGTATGACAGAGGACATTCTAGTCTGATGCCCAGTCTTGACTTGGACTGGTACCATGAATGCAAAGACCTCCGATGATCGTAAATATTCTGTGTCATGTAATCGTAAAAGACAATATTGCCGATAATCTACGTAGTACCAACAAGGTCCTAGATAGTAGTAGTAATATACATGTTCCTTTCAAAATTTTAAAAATCGTTAGCACTAGCAGCTTGATTGAACAAGTTTGTGCAACAATCGATCAGGCCTGGGTGGCCAATACTTGGAATGCGTGAAATAGCTGATGTACATCTGTCACCATCTTTAGATAGCTGGTGGTGAATGAACTTGCATTTAAAAATTCACCTAATTGAGGAAATCCCATGGATCTTAAAAGCTGCTGTTTCGTCGCGAAGTGCCATCTCAACCGACTCATCAATGCAGTATGCTGTAAATGCATTGTAGACACGCGCAATCATTTCGGCGTTTTGTTCTCCGTAGCCAAACTGGGCATCCTGTTCGTCAAGAACGGCACCAATAGCTTCACTTCGTTTCACCTTCTTTTGGGATCGGTAAAACTTCTCTTCTAAGCCGCGCAAGCAAATGTCCTCGGCGGATACCTCAATTCTGCCAGACATGACCGACTTGGCCAGCTGTTTGTATTCTGCCCTCATGACCGTGTGATCGAGACGGGTGTACCAGACGTCAGCAATCTCGCTGGTCTCCATGTCGCTGATACACGGGATTTCTTGGATTTCAATGTTGTCAGAAAATCTGACACACCTTTTCCCCATCACGACTGTTTCTTCTTCATCACTCTCAAAGATATCGTCTTCCCAAGAGAAATTCATCTCATCCTTGAGGAACGCGACAAGCGAGTTGGATTTATACATTTTCATTTGGTTCTTAGGAGTATGCATGATGTAAATAACTTGCACTTTGTCAAATTGTGGGCGTAAGCTTTGGTTCACATTACGGTATCTTGAATTTCCAACGTGGCCACAGTTGCAGTACCTGGTATACCAGGCGGAAGATGTAGTGTTCTTCATTCTATGGGAGCCCGTTATTTTCTTCTTCAAAGAAGTCTATTTTGCTCGTTGCGAAGTTTGTCAATGACTGAAAAATATCAGTTCGATGTTACCGTACCACCACAGATATTTGGTCACAAATGTCCGATCCCCAAACGATAAAAAAGACTTCGAGAACTTTGGTGGTTACAGAGCATCATGCGTTTTCCTTGATGAGCCTAAAATTTGGATACCGGTATATATATTATCCCTGTGAAGTCAATTATTGAGGAGCCAATTTTTCAGTACGCGTTTGCAAAGTTCGTCAATATGACTGGGACTGGAATGTCCATTCTCCAACCGATTACACAAGACGCATTGGAGAACTGGAAAGGTTGCGAGAAGTCCAATTCTTTTGAAGTGTGGTCGTGAATCGGTCATGTCTGTCCAAGGATCAATGGCCGCAGGTGCTTCTGATGCTTGTTCCTTTGCAGCAGAATTGAAACAGTTGATGCATGGGTTGGGGCTATTGGTGGTACTGGAACTCGTCTAGCTTGGATATATAGTATTTTATGTCATTGAAGAGCGTCCCTCCTCTGGTCCGTCTCCGCCATCCTGGAACTAGTGCCCAATAGTGTCAAAGCATAGGTCTGAAACAAACCGATTCAAGTTCTTGAAAAGCCATGACTGGACGTCCGTCCCAATCACAAAGGAGCAGCATCTTTAAGAACTGATAAAAGCTATGAAAATGGTAGAACATACTGTATATAATACTCCGTTCTATATTTTCAAAATTGTTAACCCGCTTTGTTTGAGTAAGAAAACCTATGCAGCAACCAATGTTGGGCTTCCTAAACCTGGAATGCCTAAGATCGCTGACGTGTATCTTTCATCTTCAGGTGATGGAGAACTTAAACTTGAAATCGAAAAAGGAATCCCGCCGTGGATCTCAGTAGCTGTTACTTGATCTCGAAGTGCGACCTTGACTGCCTCCTCAATGCAGTGGGCTGCAAATTCATGGTAGATTTGTGCAATCATCTCGGGGGCTTGTTCTCCATAGGCAAATTGGGCATCTTGCTCGTTCAGGACGGCACCAATAGCTTCACTTCGGTTGATCTTCTTTTTGCTTCGGTGAAGTTTCTCTTCCAAGCCGCGCAAGCAAATGTCGTTAGATACCTCAATTCTGCCAGACGTGACCGACTTGGCTAGCTCTCTACACTCTGACTTCATGGTGGCGAAGTACTGATGGCAGTACCAGACATCAGAAATCTCACTGGTCTCCAGGTCGCTGATACAAGGGATTTCTTGGATGGAAATATTGTTAGAAAATCTAATACTCGTTTTGCGCATGACGACTGTTTCTTCTTCATCGCTGTCGAAGAGATCGTCTTCCCAGGAGAAACTCATGTCATCCTTGAGGAACGTTGCAAGCGAGTTTGCTTTGATCATTTTCATTTGATTCTTAGGAGTATGCATGATGAATTGATAGTTTTGGAATTATGAGAACGTTTCGCTCGTTGTAAAAATTGTGAGCATAGCGGGTAATCTTCGCAGTGTCCGACGTGGCCACAATGAAAAAATCACGAGGCGAAACATGTACTATTCTTTATCATGTATGATTTTCGCTATCTCTAATTAGTTTTGAAATCTGGGGTCTTTAAAGCTAAGAAATGCTCCGAAAACGGTCTGATTTTTCTCCCGCCAAGTTTCGCAATTTTGTGTTTTCAGATTGGTGAAATTTGTCATCCGCAACTAAAATATCACGATTATGCTTCAATTGTCATGAGTACACTACCGCGTACACGGCGTACCACCAACAAATCTCTGATATTTTAAAATAGTGTTGTGCGAAAATAGTTTTCCTTTTAACCGACAGCTGATTCATCCTTTCACTACTCCTAGTCTCGGTACCACTATCTCTACCTACGGCAATCAGTGAGCGGGAATGTGCAAAGAAAAGCAAATCGGTATAAGCACTGATATATTAGCTTTTCATTGTATGGTGGCTTCCATTGACTTGCTGCAAAGAACCACCATAACAGATGATGATTCCTTCTTTCAAAATTCTAGTCTACTCGTATTATCTGTACCTACTGTGCGGTTGCCGGTGAGATGGAATGTAAAAATTAGCGTATCATTTTCGGTAAAAGCACAGTGACATGAGATAGCAGCGTTCAATGGGAAGCTTCCAGTTAATTGTTACCCCGCAGTAGTAGCTAATGAAAATTTGCATGCATTTATTTTCAAATGGACTCTGCTAACAGAATCGTAGATACCGCCATCATCACTCGCTGCTCCATCTGCAAGATCGCTTGCCTTCAGCTGAAGCTTCGAAAATGGCTCGGTTGTCCGAAGCCCATTCACGGTACACAGTGAAGGCAGCTAGTTGATCGCCAATTGCAGCACGAAGTGCCAAAAGTACGCTTTCTGTAGAGTTAGACTGAGAAGCGAAAGCAATTCGTTTGCAATTGAAGTCATCGAGTTCTAACTGATCGTCTTGCTCCTTTAGGACACTGTCAATGACTGCCCACACTCGCTTCTCGGATTGTATGCTCCCTTTTCTTGTCTGGCATTCCAAACCTCGTAGGGAAGAGGGCAGTTGTTTCTTGTTCTGCTCTTTTCTCTCTAACCGTCTTACCAGGCGCCGTCTGTCGGATTCCATTCGATATCGATCATCAGGTGTGTAAAAGCATTGAATTCGAGTAATCTCTCCTAGAGAGCACGTGAACTACTGTTCTCATGTGGCGTGGAAAATGGACCTTTCTTCTACTGCTGGATGGTGCCAGTTGGTGAGGAATCTCGGCTGATAGCTTGGGAGCTTGTATGATTGTTGCAACTGCGGTCGACATCTTTTTTAGTAAAAAATGGAGGAGAAATTATTTGCACGAAAATGTGAGGGTAATATCGGTTTTCTTCCAGTGTCCAGGATCGAGGATAAAATCAGCGCGTTCAACTTCTTCTGCTCTGCTGGAGTCTGAACCCGTTTCAGGATTTTTCGATTTCCAAAAACATTATTGCGACATCGTGAATAGTTCAATATAGAGGATAGCCAACTGGCTCCTTTCGTTCCGTTCCGTTCCGTTCCGTTCCCTTCGGCTACAGTACAGTACTATAAGGTGGGCTGTGACGCTGCGCTGAGGGTCGCGCTATATGTTCGACTCATAGGACCAGCTTTCGATTCTCCGAAGAGTGTGTAATCTGTGAAGACTTGCTTGTATGGAAGTGTAAGAATATCCAGTACCTGTGACAAATGGGGAAGTGAGATGTAAACTTCCAACCCCAAAGATACTTCATGTATTTAGGGGAGACCCATCTTGCCACGGGGAGTCCATAGCTTAGTGGCACAT